AAGCATTGAGTTGTGTGCCCGATGGTTATACCACCTTTCTAGTTAGAAGTGTTTGGAATGAGTTTCGATGCTTATACCGGTTTGCTTTAGTTAGAAACATTGGAACGTGTTCTGATGTTTGTACCACCCTTCGATGTGTGCACCGCTCCCTTTTCCCTCTCGCACGTGGCGCGTTAGGATGCTTTGGTTAAATGCATCTGGACGGACTCCGATGCTTATACCGCTCTTTGTTTCGATTGCATGATAGGATGAATGTGTTTCATTTGTTATCATTGTTTCGTCCCTCGCGTGTGCCACGCATTGGAATCTTGTTTGCCACCTCGGGTGTGCTCGACGGATGTGTTTCTTTACCTTTTTCGCGTGAGGCGCAGTGAGGATTGCATAATTTTCTTACATCCTTTCTATGTGAAATGCGGTTCAACTTATGATTCTCATGCGTTGCATATTCATTTTCTTACTTCTTCTCATGAGTGAAACTGACATAACTTGTCGATTTGCTTAAAATGTTGTATTTATTTTGCATAAATGCTTCATTACAGCCCTCTTTGCATAATCATAAGTTATGTTCGACATTGTGCATATCATTTGCATTTTGCCCCAGCCTGCGGGCGTATCTTCATTGATATCCTGCTTGTTTGTCTAAGTCTTCAGCCTTGTCAAAAAAGGGTCGTCTTTGGGCTTTGACATTCACTCCCGTCATTTCATGACTTTCGAGTTCTGTCAAAGAGGGGTAACTATAGACACCCCATTTTTGACCAACCTTGAGACTCAAACGTCATCATTTGTGCGCGCGATGATTGCGCATGTTTGTGCTTGTTTTGAGCGCCCAAAGGTCTTGGCTGAGCTCCTTGTCTTTGAGCCTCCAAACACTCTGTGTTTTGGCCTTGTTTTTGGGCCAACCCTTGATGCCTCTTGCTTGGAGGGGAAAAAGGCCTTGCTGGCCACTTGTGGCACTTGCCGGCCACTTTTCTTCCTTACCAGCCACTTGAAGTGGTCGGTCGGCTAGTAGAGGTGGCCGACGGCCAATTGTCTCCTTTTTCAAATTATTTCAAATCTTTTGAGCCAGTTGTTGGGCACTGAGGCTCATCTCCATACACGTGTATAGAGGGATGAAGCAAGCTTTTTGCTTACTTCTTCTATATAAGGGGAGGTCCCTCCCCCTGTTTGAGGGTTCCGAATTTTTACGAGCTAAATTTCCCTCTCTCTCCAGAATTTTCTATCTCTCTCTATATTGTGCTATATTGTGCATAAAAGTGAGTTTTCTTCACATATTTGCACTAAGACACCTAGTTAAACACCTTCACTTTGGAGCTGAGGTTTCTTGGAGCTTGGTTTGAGGTCTTAGGCTTGGTTTTGGTCCAGAATTGTTGCTGAATTGTTGCTGTGCTTTAAGGGTAAGAACTTGTCCCTTTCAAGCTTTGTTTTGATGAAGTGCTTGACCACCTTTGCATGCTATTTTGAGGCTGTTTGAGGCTGGTTTTAACCTCTTAAAAACTCTAATTTTAAGGCTTTAAAGTGTTGGTTTGAGTCTTGGTTGGTTAGAGGGTGGTTTCCTCCCTTGGCTCTTTAGCTTGTAAAGCCTTTTGAGCCACCTTTCTTAGCCTTTGGAGCATCCTTTGTTTGGCCTTTCTACCACTGAAACTCAGAGGAATTTCAGTGGTGGAAAGTTGGTTTTGTGGTCCAAAATAGGAGGGGTGGTCCCCTCTCCTTGTATCTTGTTTGTATGCATAGATGGCTTAATAGTTAAGCATGCTTTTCTACCATCTCATGGCTTGATCTCAGCATGTTTTTGTGACTTTTTTGGCTTGCTATAACTCTATTTTTGGCTGGTTGGGTCACCTCTTGCTTACTTTTGGTACTTGTAGTGCAATCATGCTTGTTGGCCTAACATGCTTCATGCTTTAGCCTATCATCCTAGCTTGTGTTAACTATATCTCAGCATGTTTTTGCTCATGTTTTAGCATGTTTTAGCTCTATTTTGAATGGTCTTGGCCATATGAGACTTGTTGTGCATTGTTGTAGTGTAAAGACCCTTACTAGCTTAGTGTTTTAAGGCCTCTAGTATGCTTTGCTTGTGATGTTTGCATGATATAGCAGCATTTTACACATGATTTCAGTGCATATAGCCTTTTCACACTCTCACATGTTCCACTCTTTCATTGCCTTTTGAGAGTGTTGCTTTGCACCTTGTTTGCGACTTAACATGCGAACATGTTTTTCTTGCCATTTGAGCTTCCATTTCAACACATTTTAGCCACTATTTTGGCAAGTTTGAGCTCTATCAAGAGTTGGTTTGGTCCTTTGGGTTTGGTATTGCATGCCTCTTGTATAACACTCTTTACTAGCTTTGATGATTATGGCTTTTGAACATGTCTTGCATGCTTTCTTTGCATGATTTAGTGTCTTTAGCATACTATTTCCGCACTAAAAAGTCTGTCATCTTCCTCGCTTCTTCACTTTCAATTTGCTTTGAAAGTGGACTTGAGCCTTTGTTAGCTTGAGTGTGAATTTGAGGTTTTCATGCCTAATGGCTTTAATCCTCTTTTGAGGGTTTCTACTAGTCAACCGCATGAAACCTCCTTCATGCTCAAGGCACTAGTGGCTTAGGCCCTCTTTCTCCTAAGAGGACTCTCATTTGGACAAATCGATTAAAGGACAAATTGGTAAGCTAAAATGTGTAAACAAGAAATGGACCAAGTAAAACATGTGCAAGATAATCATTTTGTTTGCATTGCATGTGTTTGGATCGGACGTTAATCCAAACACAAGAAATGTAAGAAGTTTCATACTCAAAGTGATGAAATGTGTCACATTTCATGGTCGCCAACACCCTTGAGCATGCATGATAGGGGGGAGGCTCTTTCTGTATTGTTTGTGCATTCACTAAGCTTGTACAAGCTTGGTTTTGGGGCCATCATGCATTGAGATGCTTGGTTGGTGGCTCGAGAGCCGAGTGTCGCACTCCTTTGAGCTTGAGACATGATGAGGAGAGTGGTCGTACACACATTTCCTTGCAAATACATTGTTGTGCCTCTGTTGTTCTCTGTTGCAGCAGAACCAGGAATTTGGAGAAGCAAGCGGTCGGCCGGCCACTTGTAGCAGCTGACCAACCACTTTCACTAGCCGACCGGGTAGTTGAGGTGGCCAGCAGCCACATTTTGTGGCCAACCGGCCACCAGTCCATTTTGGTGCAGAAATGATCCTGTTTTGGAGCAGAAACAATGTGGATGTTGGTTCGATGTTCAAAGACCGAGGCAAGTGCAAACAGAGGCAACCTTTGGCAGAGCAATGGATTTTCGAGCGGACGCCAACTGAGCATGCATATCTCCCTCGCTCGTGGGGCCGCTTTACTTGCTTTAACTAGTTAGTTGTTAGCTAGTTATTTGATTTGAGCATTGAACTTAATAGCTTAGAATAGCTAGTTGTTTGAATTCAGTTGTGTTGTAATTAATTAGTTTAATCTGTGTTGTAATATTTTAATTAGCTTAGCATAGCTAGTTTCAATTTGGTTTGTAATTAATTAGCTTAGAATAGTTAATTAATTGTTTTGTAATAATTAGTCTAATTAGTTTAATTAGATTAGTTTAATTAGCTTAGCTCATTTATTCGGATCCTCCTTCGAGAGGGCGCAATGTTGTAATAAGGGTGAGTGAGTGTGTGCATGTCTTCTAACCCCACGTCTGTCTCTCTTTTGTTTTGATTAGCATACCTTATGCTTGCATGTTTGCATCATTCATTTGTCTTCCATGCACCGGGCTTGGTGCATCATTCAAACTGCATCGTATTTCAATACCTATTTGAATACGTGTTTCAAAGCATGTTATCAAATGTTGCATTCATATACCGACTTAGATAGCCGAGCCTATTAATGTCATATTGCACGTGTTGCATTAGGCATTCTGTATAGTTAGGATCATGCATTATTTCTAACTAGTTTTCTGTTTTGGCTCGGAGTACATTGTAAGTTTTTACGCTTTAGCATCCTTGCATGAGTGTGAGTGTTTCCATGTTTCGCATGCTTACCATGAGCCTATTTGCTTAAGTGATTAACTGCATGAATGCCTATGGATGAAGGCTTTGTTGCTTGAATTAGAACAATTCGATAAATGTGAGTTTTAAGCCCACTTTGTGAAGTGCAAATCATCATGTTTTCTAAGCCCACTTGAGGGTGGCAAATCTGCGCTTTAGCCCCCTTACGAGTGGCACTTTTAAACCATTTTCAAAAACAAACATGAGTTGTTTTGTTCCAATTCTTGCGATTTTAGTCTATGCTTATATGTTGTGCGCATCACGTAGTAAAGTTAGCTAATAACCAGATAAGAACACATGAGGTTTATAAAACAACATATCATGCTTAATAGAGGCCGATCTTTTGATCGGGCGAGCGGGGATGCTCATTTCAGGACCTTCCCCTCTCGTACCCAAGTTCCTGAGCCGAGGCAACTTTGGTGATGACGGACACGTGGCCTTTGGCACGAGTCAAGGTTTCCTAAATTTCCCAAAACAAAATATTTAGGTGGCGATTCTGAAATCTGGCAAAGCAGTCCAATTTTGGCATTATTTGATTTAAAATCAGATTTTCCAAAATGATTTGCCGGATTGGACTCTTTGGTGTTTATCAGTCTTACATTGCACTTTGTGAGATTAGATTCAGAACCGTGACAGGAGTCCGAACTATAGGAGACCAATTCGCGCCTCTCCGAAAGGGGGGCGCGCGAAGAAAGTCGGGTCTGCACTCTCTCTATCGATGTCGGTCTCTCTCCCTCTTTGTCGATCTCGGTCTCTCTCTCTCTCTCTCCCCCTTTCCAACTTGAAGATAGTTTTATTCCTAACTTATTTTCTTCTTTTTTTGATTTATGTTGTTGATGTTATGTTATATTTTGCCTCTAGCATTGAAGTCCATTATCCAATCATTTCTTTGCTTACACATTTGCAAAAGCAGGTTTACATTTTGTCTTGAAGATAGAAAGAGATCCAAATTGCAAATTTTGTTTCTTGAGGAGCACAGTTAGATGGAGGACTGGGGCAATATTTAATGGCTTTATTTTTGCAACATTTCAGTTTCCAAGCTTGATGGAGTATTGTATGTCTTTTTAATTCTATAACATAGTAACATTTTACTAGTTGAAATTAAAGTTCTGATTTATAAAACTATTTATCCCAAAAAAAAAAAAAGTTTTGATTTATAGAACTCCAATTCAATTTTGGTTGAATTGATTTGCGCTTATATAAATTTGGGAGGATGGTGTGCAAAACTAGGAAATTGAATGGGTGTTCAAAAAGGTTAGGACTCCAAGTGCTTGGCTTAACCATGTTATTCATTGATTATGGCCTCGTTTACAAATATCATAATATCCTTCCATGTTAGTTTATATTTTTCATTTTTAGTTTTATTCATAATATGTGTTATTTTGTAATCAAACTATGTTGCTTGAGGATTATTTCTTTTATTACTTTGGTTATGATAGATGATACTTTCTAAGCGAAACTATTTTAAGTTGACGTGTGAGTTAATTTGCCCAATAATCTTATAATTGTAAAGCATTAAGTTGAAAGCACATGGGTTGAGGGCTTGAGCTATAAAATAGTCCTATTCACAGCTGCCCACTAAACTCATAATTGTAGAGCATTAGGTGTAAAGCACATGGGTGAAGGGCTGGAGGTATGAAAAATTCCTGTTCACAACTACCCAGTAATCTCATAATTGTAGAGCATTAGGTCCAAAGAACATAGTTCGAGGGCTTTAGGTATGGAAAATTCCTGCTCACAACTGCCTAATAATCTCATAATTGTAGAGCATTAAGTCCAAAACACATGGCTTGAGGTGTGAAAAATTCCTGTTTACTTGTGATTTCAAGAAAGATATGCAACTGATCGAGTGGATGATTGAAGAACAAAAAGTGTAGCAGACCTCTAAGGGTCACGTCTTTTTCATTCTTTTGAGGCTTTTCTTTTGTTGACTATTTTAATTCAATATATGCTTTCTTGTGCCATGAAACTAGCTTATGCAAATTAGATGCATCTAATGTTCTACAAGATTTACCTATACGTGAGTTGCAAGTGAAATTGGTTATTGTTTTCTGAGTGCATATCATGCCAATGTGGATAGATTATTGTTCTTTGAATTTCTTTCACTATATTTTACTGGTGTAGATTCACAAATTCAACTGTCTTAAGGCTAGGTGATCTCTTGTTGAAATTTTTTATTTAGGACAATTGAAATTTATTGTTGTGGATATTATTGTAATTTAATTTTCAAAGAATAGAGTTTTACAAAATTCATAAAATCTGAAAAACAGACCGCAATTTTAGGAATGTGATTGTGAAAGAAATCATTATCAGTCATTACACTACCTATTATTGCTCTTTGTACATTTTGCATATAATGGCACAACACCTCATATCCACAGAAAATTAAATGTTAAATAAAGTAAAACCTTAACTAGTTTATGTACTTACCTTACTATATAATACAAGAACTGACAATTCCATTTGTGGATTCCTGGGTGAATGAAGAGACTTGATCCTTAGGATTTAGATGGAGGGAAATGAATAGGTGGTAGTGATTTTGTAATTTGTAAAATGAATTTAAATATGTTGCAGTCTTTGTTTTATTTATTTTTGTAGGAAGCATGAATAGACCTTTGGGTTTGCAAAAAATTGGTTTTGAGCCCTCTAAAATATGTCTATCCCAGTTTTAAAATAAGCCAGTGACGTAAATAGCTAGTGTGCTCTGCATTGGATGTTAGTTGATACTAGATATAAACCTACACGTATGGGGCACTCAGAGCCTGAACATTCACAACGAAGCAAGGTTTAAAAATTTGGTTGATGTTGATGATATTTTGTGGAACCTTGATGCAGGAACATGATTTTTGGCATCTTGCCTTCAAGATTTTAGTTGTTCCAAAAAAATGTTGTGACCTTTATTATTATTATTATTATTTTATCTTAATTGTTCTTGTGGAAGAACGAGAAAACTAATGATTTTGGGAATTATTTGTGATTGTTATAGAGGACGAGCCAATTCTACCTCCTCTAAAAAAGAAGTAACCGAAGAATAGATGGGATGACAAAGATGTGGATGAAAATGATGTGAAGGATTCCTGGGAGGATGAAAAAGAAACTGCTCTGGTAATGTTGATAACATGTTTTATTTTATTGGTTTATTGAAATATTGATAACATTCTTTGTTCTATTAGATGTGGAGATGAGTTATCATAGCTGGTAAAGATGTGGAGATAATGTAGCCATACCTAAAACAAGTAATTTTGTAGTATGTGTGAAATAACTAAACTTCATTTTCAGCCATTTCAACTTAGTTGTGTTTTCATTAGATTAATATGCCCTCCTAAATAAGTGGCAATATGTGATGGCGATCGTAATTAGAAGAAAAAGGGCAAATCTAAAATTTCACATGAAGCACGTTTAAGAGATTATGGATTGAAGTTTGGAATAATTTTGAGTCTTTATTTGAATTTGTTCTAATTATAGTAGGTTTTAGTAGTAAGGGTATTAATAATATTATGGTAATTTCAATATTTGTTGGACATGAGTTGTAGGGTTCGCCTATGGGTTTTTATTTTGGGATAAGTTATTAAATGGGTTATTATATAGAGGTTTTATTATGTCTAAAATAGTCTTA